ACGTTTCTAGCTCTCTATCTCTCTCCCTTCCTCTCTGTAAAAAATCAATAAAATATATTTAAAAAGAAAGAAAGAAATGTCCCTCCAGCACCTCCAGCACAGTGAACTCCATGTATGTGTCTGCTTTCCTATGACCCTGCAACACCACGTTACACATGACATGATAAAGCAGGGGACCCCTGGCTAACCTCACCGCTTGACATGGGTCCTGGGGGCGGAGACGGCTAATGTATAGGAATCTTGCTAGGACCACCAAGGCTGATCGGGATGTTGGGACTGGACTCTGGACTGTGACTCTGGGAAAGAAGGCGGGTAAGACCCAAGAGGAGCCCAGGAAGTCTGGCCTTGTTGGGCAGGAGCTCCACCTCGCCTGACAGCGAACCAGGCCCAGTCTGAGGGCGACTGCTTGGTGAGCAGGTGGCAGTAGGAGATGGCGCACGGACAGCGGCGTTAGCCACATGAGAAACTTGATCTCGGCCAAAACCAGTTTAGCTCAGTGGATAGAGCGTCGGCCTGCAGACTGAAAGGTCCCAGGTTCGATTCCGGTCAAGGGTACGTACCTTGGTTGCTGGCACATCCCCAGTAGGGAGTGTGCAGGAGGCAGCTGATCAATGTTTCTCTCTCATTGATGTTTCTAACTCTATTCCTCTCTGTAAAAGATCAATGAAATATGTTAAAAAAAAAAAACAAAAAACTTTATCTCAGTCTCTTCAACTCAAAGCCTCTGCTCAGGGTGCCACTGACAAACAGAACCTGGGCACTTCCTGAACTGCAGAGAGAGCGTCTTCCCAGGGCTGCCCCTTCATGCGGCCTTCTGGGTTTCCTTCGCTCAGACTTCACGTTGACTACACTCATTTCCTGTCAGAGGCACAGGAAGGCTAATTCGCAGGATTGTCAGCAATCATCACCTCCTGTGCGATCTTTTGAAAACTTGCATTTGGAACGATTATGACTTTTTAATTGCATTTTAAAGGATCCCTCAGGGGTCGCTCTGATTCAACAGGGTGATGCATACTAAACAATGAACGAACAAAACATGCCCTGAGACCAAGTTATCGAATGAGGCTTCCGGTTGCACTCATTTACCAACTCATAGACCACAAATAAAAATGAATAATTTCGAAAAGTTAATTAGCATAGGATTTAAGATTAGCAGGAACAGTGAACGGAATTCCATCCGTGTTTCATGTTTAGGGACTACCTATAAAAGCTATTGTGTTTCCTCTTTGGATTTTGATTACAAATTTGGAGAAACACTCTTAATAAATATCTCCAGGAATAAACAAGTAAATACAGTTGTTCAGAAAGGTTCTCAGCATGCTGGGCATTTTAGTGCAGGTTTTCTGCATTTTTATTCTCGTTACTCAGTTATTGCTTCCTTTCTTTGATAGTTTTATCTCCTACACAGTAGCTTTTTATAGATAGTCCCTAAACATGAAACACATATGGAACCCATCCAGCCCACGGGACATGGAGCCATGGAATAGAATAACTTTTATATTTCTCTTTCCTGATGCTCTTTTTTTTTATTATTGATTTCAGAGAGGACGGGAAAAGGAGAGAGACAGAAACATCGATGATGAGAGAGAATCATTGAACGGCTGCTCCCGCACACCCTATACCAGGGATCAAGCCTGAAACCTGGGCATGTGCCCTGAGCTGAAATCAAACCTCGACCTCCTGGTTCATAGGTTGATGCTCAACCACTGAGCCACACCGGCTGGGCTCTTTCTTTATACTCTTAAGGATGTCCTTTTATCATTAAAATAAATTATGTAAAAATGATAGCATCTCAGCATTTTAAAGATGCTGTTTCCTGTGTTGGGTGTTTTGGTTTTGATTTTTGGTGGAGAGAGGGGGCGGGGGCGGTGAAATGGGAGAGGAGCTGGCTCTCCCTCCACAGCAGCCTACGGTCTTCACCGTGAGATAAGGAGGCAGGAGTGAAGGCAAGGCAGAGGCCAGACACGGCACCCACCTTCGTTCTGGCGTGGGCCTGCCCACAGCCCGACCAGAGCTGCACGCGGGCAGAGGACGTAGCTCGCATTGTAGATTGCCACAATCAATGACGGAGAAGAATGAGATGACCCACAACCAAATGAAACCCAGCGGAGGTAATTCAGTTTGTCAATTGTGCTACTAATAAGCCTCCATTACGGTTTGATCTGTGAGGGGAGATCCGGCTTCATCTATAAGAGGATCAATCAATCCTAAAAGCCCCGTCTGTGTCGGCTTTGGAGCACTCACCTACCAGAGGCGGGAGGTGCTCAAGGCTTGGGACCTTCCCGCCTCCTACCCACCCCCCAGGCCTGGCCTTGATCTGACGTCGTGAACAGATGCATGTGAGATGCCAGGCGTGCTGAGACCCGTGGAGCCTGAGAGTCCGGGCTCTAGGGAGCTCCAGGGGCCGGACTCTGTCTGCCCGGCTTGCCTGGCTCTCGGAGGTCACGGTGACTCCGGGTTCCAGCCACAGCCCATCGCTGTCTGAGCTCGGCCGGGAATGGACTCCGTGAAGCCGATTGCTCTTGTCTCTGCCGCGTTCATGTGATCCGTCTCAGTTAACCCTGGCTCCTGCAGGAGGAGCTGCAGCCCAGGTACCCCGGCAGCTGCTTCCAGTCCAGGGCTTTGCGAAGTGTTCAAAGGAGACACACGGGTTATTACGCTCTCCTCCTTACGCACTCGCTCTGATGTGTCGTGAGAAAGAAACTCGGTGAAATCCTCCTGCAGGTGGGACCTTACGGAATCAAACTCAGCGGAAAGGTTTAGCAGCTTTGCGGAGCAGACAAGTAGCCGGTGTGCATTGTTCCTTTAAGGCTCCAGGGGCTGTTTTCCCCCAAATCCTGCCCCTCGCATCCTTCCTCCGGGATCCCTCGGTCACGTGGAGCGTAGTTGTTCATGGTTCCTCTTCATCTCCGACACCAGCCCTAGCTCCAGCGAGCACCACGGAGCAGAAAAGTCACAGGTCACACACCCTGCTCTCCGCTGCGCCTGTGCTGTGTGAGTCAGAAGGAGACGCAAGTGGGAGCACAGCCCCTCGGGGGAAATCAATATGAGCGCCAGGCCGTGTGTGTGTGTGTGTGTGTGTGTGTGTGTGTGTGTGTGTGTGTGGCTGGCCTGTGCACAGCTGATGATGATGGTTGAGGGAGACGCCTGTCCACACCAAAGCCTTCCTTCCTTGCATAGGGCTGGCGGCACTCTGGAGGGAGGGGCTGGGGGCTGTGTGGTTGGGATGCATGGACGCCGGTAAAATCACCTTGGGGATGAGCGGTCTCCATCAGCCCTGCCCATGGAATCGGGCCGCCTTCTTGGAGAGGCAGATTCTGTGTCCTGTGAGGGAAAGCCGCCTTACAAAGTGGCACCGAACAGCCAGTCATGGAAAGGGCCATGGCAAAACTACCGGCCAACGGCACTCAGTGCTCAGACCCTGAGTCAGCAGCCCATGTGCCCCGGGGGAGAGACAGCATAAAACAGCACACCGTCAGAGGAGAAGCCAGCTGTGGGGGGCTTTGGAATCGTGGCGGTATTGTTTGTGATGACCCTAAGAGAAAGAGGGGGTGCAGAACGGAGCATGGTGAGGTGCCTCCTGGAAACCCACACAAGGCCAGTTAAAAGCCAAAGAAGGGCCCTAACCGGTGTGGCTCAGTGGCTAGAGCATCGGCCTGCGGACTGAAAGGTCCCGGGTTCCATGCCAGTCAAGGGCATGTACCTTGGTTGCGGGCACATCCCCAGTGGAGGGTGTGCAGGAGGCAGCTGATGGATGATTCTCTCTCATCGATGTTTCTAACTCTCTATCCCTCTCCCTTCCTCTCTGTAAAAAATCAATAAAATATATTATTAATAAAAATTATTAAAAAATCAAAGGAGGGAAGCCCATCAGGGTTGAGCATGGAACTATGAACCAGGAGGCCGTGGTTTGATTCCCAGCGATTCTCTCTCAACGTTGATATTTCTACCTCTCTCTCCATCTCCCTTCCTCGCTACAGTCAATCCATAAAAATGTATTTAATCAGAGGGAGGAGCAGGCCTTGTCCAAGGCTGGACAAAGCCCCCTGGGTTGTTGGTGAAAGGGGCCACAGTGCCTTTGTCTCCAGCGCCACCAGTGACATCAGGCCAGGCGGGCGGAGCAGAGCAGCGGGCTGAGACCAGGTGCGCCTGAAGCCCTGGGCGTGGTGCTCCCCTCCCAGCCGCCCGCTGCGCCCCCTTCTGGCCACGCGGACAGCGACACTCCAGCTCCCGTCCCGGAGCTGACTCCGTTTCAGCCCGGGAGTCCGCCACCGGGCCCTCTTTTCCTGGTGTCACCAAACCCTTAAGGAGGAGCCCCTTGGACCCGCGAGAAACGCTGGTCCCCGAGCAATGGCTCCTCCCTGCTCTCCAGGCTCTTCCCTGGCGACGACGGACTGAGGGACACGGGGTAACGCTGGGGACCGAGCGGCTGCACCCAAAGGTCCCCCCACCCCATGTCTCCAGGTTCCCGTTGGGGGTGGAGGGGGTGGCTGGGTTTGGGGAGGGGTCGGCGTCGTGCCACCCCCTCCCAGCGACCAGGCAGGTGAGGACGGCGCCCGGGTCTCAGGCTCCATCCCTCCCGCCCCCGCCCCCGCGCCCCGGGCGGCCCTGCGCGGCCCCGGCTCGCCAGCAGGTGGCGCTGCGCGCTCTGCCGTCCCGCGGCCCCGGCAGCTCCATCGGCTCCTGCGCCAGCGGCGGGCGCAGCCGGGAGCCTGGGGCTCAGCAGCGGCCCCGAAGCTGCGGCTTTCATGACGTCTGGCCGCCTGGCCCGGCACTTTTCCTCCGGCCGCGGGTTTGTGTTTGTTTTTCTCTGCGGCTCCTGCCCTGTCCTCTCCCCGCACCGGGCTCCCGCCCCCGCCTCCGCCCGAGCGCACGCCGCCCGCCCCGCGCCCCCGCGCTCAGCCCGCGCCCCGCGCCCCGCGCCCCGCGCGGCCGGGGAGCGGAGCGGCCGCACCTGCCCCGGAGGCGGCGGCGGCGGCGGGAGCCGCGGGGCCGGGAGCCGGACCCGGAGCCGGAGGCGCCGCGAGGAGCATGGGGGCTCCTGACCGCCTCGGGGGCTGCTGTGACCTCCAACCATAGGATTTCAGATCTTTTTTGTTTGTTTGTTTGCTTTTTTTGCGCTCTTCTTTTTATTTCCTCCCCTCGCCATCCATCCATCCGGCAGTCAATGCCCTGCCCTCGCTCCGTGCCCGGAGGGGAGACCATGATCGGGTGAAGCCGCCCTGTCTGCAGCCAGGTAAGCGGTGCGGGACCTGCTCGAAGGCGAGGCGCCGGCATCCGTGTGGGCAGGACGCTCCGAGCCCCGTCCCCTCCGCCCGGTCCCCTCCGCCCGGTCCCCTCCGCCCCGTCCCCTCCGCCCCGTCCCCTCTGCCCGGCTCCCCTCCGCCCGGTCCCCTCCGCCCCGTCCCCTCCGCCCGGTCCCGTCTGCCCCGTCCCCTCCGCCCGGTCCCCTCTGTCCCGTCCTCTCCGCCCGGTCCCGTCTACCCCGTCCCCTCCGCCCGGTCCCCTCTGCCCGGTCCCCTCCGCCCGGTCCCCTCTGCCCGGCTCCCTCTGCCCCGTCCCCTCCGCCCGGTCCCCTCTGCCCCGTCCCCTCCGCCCGGTCCCCTCCGCCCCGTCCCCTCCGCCCCGTCCCCTCCGCCCGGTCCCCTCCGCCCCGGTCCCCTCCGCCCCATCCCCTCCGCCCCATCCCCTCTGCCCCGTCCCCTCCGCCCCGTCCCCTCCGCCCGGTCCCCTCCGCCCGGTTCCCCCTGCCCGGGTCCCCCCTGCCGCCACGGGCACCTCCGCGCGGAGGAGAAACGAGATGCCCAAGCCAGGGTGAGGGAGAAGCCGTTACATAACCAGCAGAAGGGAAATCTGCTTCACTTGGTTTTCATGAGCAACTGGGAACGGCAGCAGCTGGAGGGGAGGGGGGGTCCGCACGCCAGTCGCGGAGCTAGGAGCTCCCCAGTCCGTTATGTTCCTGCATTCCAGCCGCTGAGCCAGGGCGGGAGGCACGGATTCACTAACGGGCAGGGGCGCCGTCCTGTGCAGTTGGGGAAAGCCCATTGTCTCTGTGGAAAGCTGTATTTTTGTTCTTCTTTGCTTGGAGGAGAGCCTCCCAGCTGTGTCCTATCAGCATAGCCCGAGGTGTGATGTGATGGCCACAAGCTGTGGAGGAGAAGCTCTCTCTAAAAGTCAGTGGATTATTGGGGGGAGGGGGGTCCTGCAGATCTAATGAGATCCTGTGGCATTTGGGGAGTCAGGTGAGCCCGCTGACTTGCTTCCTCCTGGGCATGTTGTTATGTGCAGGGAGACGTGGAGGTGGGCCAGTTTAGATAGACACGGCATCAGCATTCCAACCCCAGTGAGCCTTGGGCGATCCACAGGTCTGCCTCTGGTATCCGCTCGGTATGGAGAGACTCTGGGGGAGGAGGCGTATTTTAACAGGGACAGCCACCCAGAAACCTCGGGGTGAGGTTTGGGGAGAAGCAGAACACCAGAATTTTCCAAAGAAGCCCGCCTCCACTCCTATACACGACAGGGGTGGGAAGCACCGCCTTGGGCTGGGGAGTTGGAAGTTATTATATGTTTAAGAGTCTCCTGCCTGCTTTGATCTGAAGCCAGGCGGTCCGGGTCCGAGGGACCCCCCTGACCAAACAGGGTGCAATGCCAGCCACATCCCTGCCGGCACCGCCACCTGCCTGCCTCTCCCCTGCTGACGCCCGTGGCACCGGGTGCCCGGGAGCTGCTGAGAGGTGAGGGGGGCTTGCGACAGTCCAGGCTGAGCCAACCAAGCTTCGCCCATTTTGCCTGGAGCGAGAGCTCCAGTCTCCATGGCGACTCTGGTGGAGGGGAGAAGGCAGCTCCAGTTACAAAAAAATAATAATAATAATAATAAAGATTGCACAGAACTTTCCCGGCTCCAGGCAAAAAAATAAACCAGCCACGTGCCCTGCAGAGGGTCCTGGGCACCTGCTTTTTTTCAACTTCTGGCCAGCCACCCTGCGGGGTCACTGAGGACCCAGCCAACCTCCCAAAGGTGCCCGGGGACAGATGTTAGGCCCGGTTTCGGGTTCAGCACCAAGGCCAGAGCACAGCGCCCGCTCTCCCTCTTGGGCTGCAGCCCTGGCCAGCGAGCAGTGCCAGCTCCTTCAGCCACTTTCTCCAAAGGACTGGCTCCCTGGCCCCGGGCAGAATCAGGATAGCTGGTCCTCCGTGGAGCTGCGCGGGACAGGGAGGCTGCAAGCCATCCATTTCACGCATGGCGGTGCATCAGAGTAGCTATTCAAAACCAAGAGCCCTGAGACAGCAAGAGATGAACTGAGGATGGAGAAAGATCCGGTCCTTAAGGGAGAGAAGGGACACACACGCTCATGCACACGCACACGCACAGACCAAAGATCAGTCCCTGAGGACAGTTTTCTCAGTTCAGCCTTTGGCTTCAAAAGCATCCATCCATACTCCACTGCCTGGCCTTCCTGACTGTCAGGGGGAGGGAAGGCACGGAGGGGTGCAGATAGTAGAAAGGCACTTGTGAGAACATCCTGGTCTGTGAGACACCAGCCACAGCCCGCCTAGGGGTCCTGGGAGCCCCGCAGGAGAGTGGATATATAGTTCACTGTTGGCGGGACCTGGCGGACTCCAGTGCAAGGCCGATGAGCCCCGGGAAATGGAAGGCGTGTCAGGGAGATGCTGCCAGGTGATTGTCTTCGAGCCAGTGTGTGAGCAGCGTGGCTGAGTGTAGGAGGTGGCAGGCTTAGGAAACAGGGGGCAGGGCTCCCTTTTCCTAATAGAAACAAGGAAGAAACTGCAAGAGGGCCAGGTTATTATCACCCGAGGTCCATTTCCACACCCCTCCAGGGACACAGGTAAGTCCCTCTGGCATGCTGCCCTTGCCTTGGGCAAGGCTGGTCTCTGCCCCTTAGTAGTAGGTCCTGGTACTCTCACCCCCACCCCCCCCAAGTGATGCTGACGAGGGAAAAGGCAGGGAAGGTGACAGCCGCATTGCATTTCGAGGAGGGAGTTGTGACAAGGGGCATTGAGGTGCCAGGGCAGGGTCTGAGGTGCAGGGCCCGGGCGGTCCGGCAGCTGGGAGGAAGTGAAGCCTCCAGCACGTGCCCGGCTGCTTTCCTAGTCGGAGGGTGCCCTTACGCAGTGTGGTCCTCGGCGGGTTCTGGCTGGCTGCTTTGGGAGGTAAACAAGACAGGCCCTGGCTTTCCTCGCTGGCCATGCCATTGCTTCCTGACGATGGTGCACTGGGGACTTGGTTAAAGCTGCGTGTTTGTGCCTTCCGGCCTTTTGGCGGGGAGGGAGGGTCTTTTTTTGTTGTTTTTTTGGTGTGTGTTTTTTCGTGGTCGCTGGTGAAGGCAGAAGCAATCTAGCAATCTCCTGCCAACCTGGGCGAAGGGTGCGCTCTCACGCTGCTTCTCCCACGCCCTCGTCTGATGGGCACCGGCACGTTTATCTCGGTTTGATGTGAGGAAGTGCCGCGCTCTCACGTTAAGCCAGAAGTGCTGCAGCGCGTTATGACTTAGAGCAGCTGGGCCCTGGCGCGGTTCCATCCGATCCTGCTGGCGGCAGGGAGCTGGAGATCGCTCAGGGAGACAGAGCCACGCGAGGGCATGGATTATTAAATAAGCAGAGCAGTGTATTGGTGAGCTCTAAAGTCCCGTTTCTCTGATGAGTTAAATAATAAATGAGAATGTAAATGATCCAGGGCACGCCACTGCTCGATCAATGAGCCTCCATCCTGGTAGAGTGCAGGCCCGTGTGTTCAGAGCTAATTTACCAAACTATGATTTGCCTCCTTCCCTGGCGATTAATTGCTGAGCAAAGTGTCATTGCATCCTGATGACAGTCAACACGCACTCTGAAATCATTGGCTTGTCCATTTCAGTCAGATTTGTTACGGAGAGCAACTTTCCATGTATCCTAGTGCGCTCAGAGCCATTCTGTAATTATTATTATTTTTTTAATTTTTTTTTATTTTTTTAGAAACGTAATACTGCACCCTGGGATTTCATAAACACCAGTATGTAACATATCCGCTCGTATGGCCCAGGTCTCTATGTACTGCATAGGCTTTTTCTGTGAATAAACACAAATGCCTGAATCTGCTCTCATGTTCCTCCTTGTCTTCTCACAAATGATCTCTGCTTTTCAGGACAAAAGGAAAATAAGACATGAGAACAGCTGTTTGATAATCAGTGGGGGAGGGGGGGGGAGATCATTGGAGATTAAAAATAAGTAAATGTAACCTGATGGTAGCTTAACCCCTTTCACTGATTTTCGAAGATGGAAAGTATTGCTTGCCTCGAGAGCAGAATGTTGATCCTGTGGCTCTTCATGAAAACAAGACAAACCCTCTCCATCAGAATGAGCAGGTGTGCAGACGAAGCTCTTCTTCCTTTCACCATGATCTGTACGTTACATGTGGATTGATGAAGGAAATGTGCCAGCAAGAGGCAGGCTTAAGGCGAGGAAAGGTGTTAGGGGAAAGCAGCTATATATTTTTACCCAATTTAAATTGATGACATTTCTCAAAGCAGGGTGGTGTTGTTTTTTTAATTCATTGTATCAGAACTTGAAAGTTGGTGAAATTGAGATGTTTAAATGGAACAGATTTGGATTTATTGCTTGTTAAGATGGCATTTATGATTTATTTTCTTTTTTTTTCAATAATGTTACTTAGGTCCCAAAGAGAATTGGTTCATCTGAAGTTTTACAAAATTTTTTTTCATTAATATCAATAAAAGGAGACTTGGTAGTTAAAATAAAAAATTATAGAGACACTTATTGAATTAAGGCTTTATTTTTAATTGTAATGAAAGTATTTAGGGAGATAGAAAAAGAAAATGAAGTCATTTGGGATAAAAAATACATTTTAAATGTATTTTTAAATAATTAGTTCTAAAAAGAATTAGGATCCTGACAAGAGAAGAGGTCATCATAACGGCAGTTGGTGCTCTACTGGTATTCTGCCCCTTGTCTGAGAAAACACTGTACTCTCCACATATTGATGTCAGTTGACTACCTCTACTCAATAACATAAAGTTATTTCCCTCAAATGCAGAAGGACCAGGACATCCTAAAAAGAATGTTCATTCTCCCCTAAACCAGTGGGATAGGGGCTTAATCACAAGGAAGACAGCAGCCTGTAATTATTGGAATCAAGAGGCTAGATCAGTGGTTGGCAAACTCATTAGTCAATAGCAGTAAACCGCGGCTCCAGCCGCATGTGGCTTGCAAGCCACAGTT